CAGGGTATCTCCTAGTCGAGCAGTCTCGACTAGAGTCTTCTTACTTGTTTAAGTTTCCTTTAGGCCACTGAATTCTCTAGGCCCAACTCAATTAGCCTGATACAATTTTATATATACATATATGGGTGGGTGCAGAGAGATATTTAGTGAAAAATTGCCTTAATTTCGGGCACACACACAAAGGTTTCCAGCAGAAACAAAAGTGAAAACTTTCACTTTTGATATTTGTGTAGAGCGCAACATTTATGTTTAGTCGGTTTTTATTTTTTATTTATTTTTTTTTTTGTTTCTTTATACCACACGACTTAAAATCTGACTGCTCTGCGACTGTTATTTCTTTGGTATTACCATAAATTTGAATTTCGTTTACATCATCAACGACCCAAGCGACGACGACGACGACGACGACCACGTCGACGCTGGCGATGGCGATGACGACCTCTCTCGGCGCTTCTCATGTGTAAAGAATTGTTGAAAACTAAGGCTGGGCCTTTCTTTCGGCCAACACGTCGGGCGTTGCATGCGTGTGTGTGTGTGTGCTTTTGATTTTTTGTTTGTGTGTATTTTAATGCGATAATTTAAAACTTTTTCGCTTTCATTTCGTTTAAGCTTTGGCTATTAATCAGTTATGAGTCTTCAGTCTTGATACAACAAGTTAACCTTTTTCCAAATGCCGCCGACGCTTGAAGAATCTCCTCCAGACAATTGATTACGCAAGCTGTGAGCCCCCCTCCCCGGCCGACCCACACGGCGGGAGGGCCACACCAGGCCCATTTATCTTACAGTTTTTCAATTAAACTTTGTTTATTTCTTCGTTACATGCTTTTGTTGTTGTAGTGTCTGTTTTCAGTTGCTGTTATTGTTGTTGTTGTTGTTTTTCTTACTCTGCATAGATAACAATTTAATTTTTGCTATTCGCCCCGTTTTCAATAGCTGCCCGAACCTTGTGCACGGCCTAACATGCATGCTAAATTGTTCAGATAAAAAGCACATTAGGCTGAACAGTATTTTTCTTCTTCTTCTTCTTTTTTTTGCGGAAATACCAAATGCAAAACACGCGGCCTGCGTGAACTACAAGTTAGATAGATCGACTGTAAAATGACACGTGAACTCTAAAGTTAGATAGATTGATAGATAGACTGTAGAACGTAGTTACATAAGAAATTCGCCAGAAATCAGCACTTGGAAATCTTATATAAGAGTGCGAACTACTTGCTTACGACAAGAGTCGGCTCTGTGAAGAGTCCGTAGCAAATTACGCGGAATAGTTAGGTGAGAATGGAAGTACGCATTCCAGAAATGGGGCAGAAAATGATAATTTAAATACATATACTAGATGCCTGAAATTACTATGAACTGGCGAAAAGATGCTAAAGGGGAAGCTACTACCTCAGATATGTATATATGTATAGCCCTTTGTCTACATATATATTAACTTTCGTTGGGTTTTGCAACCCAGTTGTCTACAGCTCTACAGAAATTCTTTTGTGCATGTGAATGAAACGCGAATCGTAGAGAAAAAAAGAAATATATATAAAGGAAACCCTTTTTATTCTCAGCGGCACTCATAACCCACTTACAACAAAAGCGAAGAACCAATGGACTAAATAGACTATATTTTTAGATACGTGTTGGGCATTTTTGCTTTTGTCTCTTGCTTTTTGTTTCTTTCAGCTTGTTGATTTTACCAAGCACTTTGAAAATATTTCAATGGAATTTCTTTGCGGAACGGCACCTTCACACAGCTTGGCCAGTCAACAATAATAGCCCTGAACTTTCATTGGGTTGTTAACTTGTTGTTGTTGTTGTTGTTGTTGTTGTTTGTGTTGCATTCGCTCCACATATGTACAGCTGTTTTTAATTTAAAACTTCATTTCAAACCGAAATGAAACTTGTTTTCCAGCATTTTTGTTGTTTCTCATTTTTGCAGTGGGTGCAGTTGTTGCTCTGTCTACTGTCGTCTATATTATAATTTATAAAATATTTTTTTGTGCTCCCTTGAATATTTATTTTCTGTTTTTGAACTTGACAAAAATGTAAGAAATACGATTCACTTAGGCAGAATCATAAATACTCTATGATGTTTATATAAGCAATGTATTTATGAAAGGGTTAGTAAATTGAATAAAGATCTTTTAAAAGAAAAACATCAAGAAAATTCCATATACAAACATATACAGATTTTTACACATTTATACAGATTTTTGCTACATCATTAAATGTTGAGAAATTATATTTTATTTTAAATATTAATATTGATAGAGGTTAACTTTATTTTATTTTAAATAGGACATATAAACTCTACATTAGTATGTAGAAGTTATACTTTACTCGTGCCAAAATTCATGAAAATCCGCCAATACCCTTCGTTAGGTTATACAAAATGAGAGTAATACATATAAATAAGCTAAAGTGACATTGTGTTGGCATTAATTTACAGTGGTCGATGGAACATGTTTAATGCATTTCATATGCATTTTTCTTTGTCAATAATTGAATTTTCGGAATTTCAAGTTCCCAACTGATCAGATTCGCTATCTCACTCCATATATAAATATTTCTCGCTCTCTCTCTCTCTGTGTTTCTTCTCCTCTCTCTTCTTTACCTGTTGTTGCCCATTTTTTGGCTTTTATTTATGTGATTTGCATTTGCTTTTGTCATATTGCTTTTTGCCTCTTGCTTTCGATTTTCGCCTTCATTTTTGTTGAATTATTTGAATGTATTTACTTATTTACGCTTTTATTTTGATTTTTTTCTGCTGCTGTTTTTTGCCACTTGTGTTTAAATATTAAAAGACCGAAATTGCTTGTTGCAGCCATATTTTGCCGTCGCGCAGCCTAAAGAATTTCAAAGTTGTGTAATCACAATTTCATTGAAGTTTCTGGCTTTAAAGGTAGCTGAGAAAATTCATTGGAATGCCAAAATGACCAACAGAAAATTGAGCATAAACGAAAAGCCAGCAGAAATTAAATTCTGTTTTCAAGTTGCCTTAAGATTTTATGATTAAATTCTGTTGGGAAGATCACGAATTTTTGGATAGTCGTCAAACGTTGCAATTGAAATACTAGATGCATTTAATTTATTTAATTTTCGTTTGTCAAATTTTTAATTCACCTAAAATAAAAAAGGTTTTTTTATTTAAATTATATTTTTAATTAAAAACATTTACTATTTGAAATAAAATAAAGCTTTTATAAAATATTATTCTTTTTTAATTAAGACACCAGCTTAAGCTCTCCTCCTTAAACTTGGCTTGTCAGGCATACTTTAGATATATATCAGCTATTTATCAAATGGAAACCCTCTGAGCATATTTGCTTACAAAATTCTCAAATTCTCAATCAATTTTGTGGTAAATAGTCTATAGAAATCCCTAGTCTATTTCACTAAACATGCTCCCACGCTACGCTCAGTTTGTACATCTTATTAGAACATCTATGAGTAGTACTTTGACTACTTGTTTGCCTAGTTCGACGGGTCTTTAACATTCCACATGGATTGTCAATGCTTATGAAATTCTGGTTTCAAATGCTAAACCTCTCTCCCTCTCTCTCTCTCTCTCTCTCTCTCTCTCTCTCTGGTTGCACCTTCCTCTCTCTCTCTCTCTGTCTCACTCTTTCTCTTTTTGTCCAGGGCACAGTTCAAGCAAAGCGAATGAATGTCTGGGCCAACAAACTGCAGGAAGTTCTATTTGTATTTGCTTAAACACTTGTCAATACCCAAGCCGCCAAGACCACCAACACCAGCCAAAGAACCCTGTTTAGCACTGCCATCCATCCCAGGCATGATGTGAGCTGTCTTGTATGTGTGTGTGTGTGTGCGTGTTTGTTGCGTGGTGGTGCTATATGCCAATGCATTGGGCATTGGGTTACCTGTTCTGTGTATTTTGTTGCACTTTTTGCCGCTTCGTCTTCGACAATATTTAAATAGGAAATTAGGGTCGACTTGGCTGGCTGGCTGGCTGGCTGACTGGCTGGTTAGCTGGCTGCTTGGCTGTCTGCTGTTCCAGCTTGGCTTCCGCCTCTGGCAACGCCCTGGGGCCCGTTTTTCCAACTGTAAGCCGAGCCCAAGGCGCTTTCACAGGTTTCCCGCAGTTTGCATAGAATGCATTGCAGTTGCCACTATGTGACTATGTCATGGTGTTTTTTTTTTTCACTTACGGTTTGGTTTTTTTTTTTTAAGCCATGCTAATTAAAGCCGGGCTGAACCGGATTTAATTAACTGCATTTACTGTTAGCGCTAAACTGGTGCACTTTTTTTTACAACTAGAGGATTATATCGATGCGCCATGAATTATGTTGATGCAGAG